TGATCTGCATGGCGTCAGGCGACCCTCATCAAGCAGTGGAGTGGCAATAAAAAGACCTGTACACGTACATGTACTAGACCCGGGAAAATGTTGATGCCTGGCAGAAGCGGTGCGTGACTATTCGCAGCGAGTACCGATGATCATTCCGCAGCACAAGAGCGCCGGGAGGGATGTGCCCTGGCCCAGGATCATGTAGGACATGAGCACGTTGAAGACGGTGGTGAGGGAACGGCCCACGTTGTAGAAGGAGATGCCCACGAACTTGAGGCAGAGGTTGTTGAAGGTAATCATGCCCGTGAAGACCAGCGACAGTGGCAGCACCTGCTCAACGAAATAAGAAATGTGTCAGTGCGCACTTTCTAATAACAGAGACACAAACTGATACCCCATCGTCAACCAAGATCGTGTCTTTTAACTCGCATTATGTTATTGTATTCATGTGTTCCTCGTTCTGTCTCAGTGCATTTACAAACATGCACCTCTCCATGGTTAGTTATGCAACGTATCCCCAAAGGAGGACTTCTTCCTAATCTACATCACTGTATACCCTCAAAGTAAATGAGTAACTTTCATCCATAAGCCAGATTTTTTACTGGCATCACTTTTTTTCATAATATAACAGTTACAGTACTTAAACTTTAGTCATTTTCTGAGTTGCTTCTTGTTCAAACAGTACCTAATTAATTGATCTGCCACTACATATATACCACACTTAAATTGTGGTTTTTCTAAACGTTTCACACAATGTCTAGGCATGTAAAGTGTTAACTTTAAGTGCTTTACTCCACAGAGCATGAAATATGAATAATTATCTCCACACAATCCCCAAAGCCACAAAGGAAAGTACGAAATAATGATGGCAATTTCAGCACGAAATATTTTTGGTCACATCATTCCCAGCATTGCATTTCCTTAAACAATGAACATTGAGGTCTAAGTCAAAAGAGCTGCCAGGCTGTAGTATATTTATACAACAGGGTCCAACTGCATTGGAAACAGAGCAGTAAATCAAACAGCCTCAACGAAAAACAGTGGTGTTGTTTTCCAAAAAGTCAGGACAGTAGAACACATTCGTAAAGAATTCAGAAGCGTTACAGTCTTGCACCAATGGGCGTCAAACTGTTGGTTTATCCAGACGCTCAGAAAAAAATCCTTTGGTTAAATATTACAATAGGATATAGAGTACCTACTGTTCACAATAACCTGTCCGCTCTCCCTTGTACGGACAAATGATAAACTTGTTCGACAGGTATTACCTTACAAAAGCTATGGTCAAGCCACTGTGTCCTGTTCATCAGAAGGGCCCCTAGAAGATGGGGTCTCTAGAGAGGAAATTTTGGCCTCATATTCCACACATCACCTTCCCATCAACTGTGGTATACTCATTTATACGTGGTATACTTATTTATACAACTGGGTGGAAACAGACTGAGTGATTGAGAAAAAAGTGTCCTATTTTTAAATGTCATTTAATAAAAAGTCTACGTTTTAAATGTTAGCTATGTATTAGGTAAGGTAGTGTAGAGTCATGAGCAATGAGTGGATCATTACATATTTTTTTAGCTAACCTTTCCAAATGATCACAAGATGACATACTATATTGGAATGGGATAAGTGAAGTGTGATCTACACCCATAAGCAACCTGCAATGGAAACCATAGGGCACCATCTATGTGTACAAGTTTTAAAGACAATTTAAGGAGTCTATGATATGTATGGCAGTACAGTGGTTAGCGCACCACGCTATAAAAACAAGTTTGATTGCCGGTCATGGCTAAAAGCAGGGGGCGACTGCTATCTGAACCGGTCCCTTCTTTATCACTTGTAGCTACAACCAGTCTCGTTTCGGATCTACAGGTCAAATAACTTATTAAAGCTTAAATAATCAATGTCGTAGTAATCATGTGCGCCAGTGGTGGAAATTTCACTCTCCCACTGGATATCTGCTGTTACACTACTTGAAAAGGCAGTTACACAAGAGAAGCAACACATCCTATGCCTTCTAGTGCCAGAACAACGCCTCCCCTACACCCTTGCAGGTCCAGGAGGTTAACTGACCATACTTCACCACGCGTACATTTACATTTGTGAAGGTGGGGGAGCATGGACGTGAAGGGGCATAATATTATAGTACAACAATTCATGTTGCTGCACTACTACTCTGCTGCTCGTCACGCAGCCTTGGATGAAGCTACGCTCTTCATGAATGGTGATCACGACACAGACCCAAACCTTTTAGCTTGCGCATTCCGGGTGATTTGGTTATTGTCTCCACTCTACAACACCTCCCAACACAACACCCTTCCAACTACCTCCCAGTACCTACGAATACAACAACCCTTCCAACTACCTCCGAAGACAACACCCTTCCAACTACCTCTGAATACAACACCCTTCCATCTACCTCCCAGTACCACCGAACAAAACACCCTTTCATCTACCTCCCAGAACCCCTGAATCCCTTCCAACTACCTCCCAGTACCCCTGAACACAACACCCTTCCAACTACCTCCCAGAATCCCTGAATACAACACCCTTCCAACTACCTCCCAGTACCACCGAACACAACACCCTTCCAACTACCTCCCAGTACCACCGAACACAACACCCTTCCAACTACCTCCCAGTACCACCGAACACAACACCCTTCCATCTACCTCCCAGCGCCTCTCAACCACTGCTGGTATCCTTGACTCCCCCCCCACCTCGTGTGTGTGCAGCCTGACGGGTACAAGGTAGACATCGCTAAGCGGCAGCGAGGATGTTTTCGTGGCTTCTGTGACTCTTTAAGCCGCCAGAACGTCCGGCCCGCGGGCCTCATCATTTTGGGTGTCTGGCCCTGCCAAGGCAACCGCAGGCGGGACTCGAAATCGAATAAATCTAGGAGAGCAAAACCTGCAAAAGCAGTTGCGAGTAGCAACATCATCGTCATCAATACCGGCTAACATCATCACACCCCCCCCCCGCGAATGATGTTATAAAAAAAGATTCCCCACCCCTGGCCTTTAAGCGTGGTCGTAGCCTTTACCCCGGGGGGGAGGGGGGCAGCAGTTCTAGCGCATCAACTCCGTCGTCATTATGTGCAGGTACAGTAGTAGCAATGATGTAACTCGCTCGATGTACAGAGTTCGGTAACAACGCCGCATAACCGAACGTCGCCTATCAGCCCCGAGCAACTAATCCGCCCTCCCCACCCCACTCCACCCAGTGGCAGTACACACTGTGCGCAGTTTTGCCAATGACATCTTTCCAACAGATGTTCACCACGCACGCTAAGTTGGGGGAAAAAAATGACAGCCGCCTGCGATGTTCCGTTGCAGAGCAACGCGTTCTCCACACGTATACATATCGCTTCACTCCGCTGATGAGACCCAGAATAACGAAACCATTACACCCCCGCCCCCCAAACTACACCTATTGTACGCGTGGCTGGCCAGTCTTAAGACAGGGCTACGGTGGTGGTGGGGGGCCCTTGAGCATCCTCCCAGCGGTTGCCGCACCTGCAGCAGGATCTGCGTGTCGCAGCCAAGCTCGGGGAAGCGGACGCGGCGCGGGAAGAGTCCCGCCAGCGAGCGCATGGCCCAGCACAGCGCCACGGTCACCGCGCACTGGTAGAAGGTGACGAAGAGCGGCGCGTCGAGCCCCTCCGAGGCGCCCGCGCCGCCCAGGAGGTGCTTGTTGAGGAACACCATGCTGACGGACACGAGCCAGTAGAGGGCCACCACCAGCGCGATGCGGACCGAGCGCTGGGCGAGCCCCGGCGGGCCGCGATCGTCGCCGGACCCCGGCTGCAGCATGGCCAGGCGGTGCGGAGAGCCGCCCGCAGCCGCGTCGTCGGCGGGGCAGGAGGTGCGAGCGCGTCGCTCTAACGGGACCGCGCGTTCCCGCGGGCGCGAGGGGAGCATTCCGGCGCGGCGGCGAGCATCGTGCGCGCTTGGTGTGGTCAGTGAATGTTGACAACGAAATAATGAGCGCGCACAATTGGTGCTGATTGTTGCTGCGGCGTTAATCTCGTGAAGGCGCGCGTGTGTGTATGTGTGTGTGTGTGCAGGCGGCTGCAGCAGCCTCGCACTGCTGCTGCTGCTGCTTCCTCCGTTGACACGCGCGGGATCAGCTGACTCGCCGGCAGCCAGCGCCCGATTCGAGCGGCGGGGGCTGATTCGCGGCCGCGATGACGTCATGTCACGCACGAGGCGCTGACGTAAAAAAAGCAGAGGGCTCGATGGAAAAACGTTTAAGGGGCCGGCTATGAATGACGTCACGCGATTTTGGACGATTTTTGACCCCCCCCTCTCTCGTCACGGCGTCACAAAAGTCAGACCCCCCCCTCAAATATGACGTCACAAAGCTCTGCCCCCCCCAAAAAAAAATGCTTCAAATGGCTTTAAACTATTGTCATTGTAGTGCGTATTTAATGTGGCGCTGCAACTCTGATGTTGTAGGAGAAAACATTTATATAAAAAAGTCTATTTAATCAAGTAGAACGTGTTTATATTTATTTAAAGTTGTGCATTTTGATGTGACGTCACATTTCTCTAACCCCGCTCGTCACAAATCGTCACAAATGTCTGACCCCACCCCTCCCTAGTAGGTGCGTGACGTCATTTATGGGCGGCCCTTAAAAGGTAACAGTTGCGTGCGTGACGTTTTTATATATGTTTTTTTCACAAGCGCGCGCGATTACGAACGGCCTAGTTTTTTGTTGTTGCATAAATTCTGCTAAACCAGAATGCCTTTGATGACGAAGCCGTCATTACGTAGCATTTGACGGCCGGCGATGACGTAATCACGTAGCGCCTCACGTCCTCACAGCCGTCAAATGCAATGCGATGACGTCCGGAAGCTTTGGTGATGTCATCGCGTGGCACTCAGTGGGTTGAGTGACGTAATCACTTGCCATTTGAAGACGTCAGCGCTCACGGCATGTTGTAGGTTTTTTGACGTCATCGCGCAAGGCGTTTAGGCTGTGACGTAATTACGTACACATCCGGCCCTACGACAACCCGTTTTTGCAACGTCAAGACGTCGACGACACGACGTCATCACGTACATCTTCCCCCGGAAGAAGCTACGTAAACGTGCGCGCCGTGATGATTTAAATGAATATTGGGCGCTCTACGGGAGATCGGAACTATTGTCCTTTATAACCAGACGCCAGGTACGAGTCTCTGCCAAGACGAATGCAAACTGCGGCCTTCCTTTCAGCGTCTCGCGTACGCGGTGTTTTGCGCTTCGACGCCACCCTGGATGACACGGCGTCCTCGGCTAGTTTGCCCGCCGGGTTCCCTCGCTCCTGCTCGGTAGAAGTTCCCAGGCCTTTCGGGGGCTGCACTCGGGACCAGGGGCGAGCTTTCATTACAAGTGTATAATTTTGATTGCGATTGAATGAAGTCGTTATCATCATCATCCTTTGGCTGGTGTGCAGGTGCTAGGCAGATTGTTGCTTCCTAGGATCGCGAGGGATGGCGACAGCTTCGAGAAGACTTAGTCCAGCAGTGGACTGATCATGACTCATGATGATGATCACTTCGTAATTGTAACATGCCTCTGATGGTGGCAGTGCTCTGCGCTACGAACCTGTGGTCGATTACCGGCCACGGTATCTGAACCTGGCTTGAGTCTCTCCCTTAGGTTGACTCGGCCTTAAATGATTACTGCATCTGTTGCGATGTGCAAACGTTAGCATTGTGGGGAGCAATATATTCTTGGTTCTTTCGGTAAAGTCACGTAGAAGGGAAACAATAAAATATAATCAGATGACGATTGCTTGTGTTGCAGTCGAAACGTCGTGAGAATTGTATTGTTTTATTGTTTCCCTTCTACGTGACTTTACCGAAAGAACCAATAATATGAATCCCTGCAGTCACGAAAGCTTCAAATTAAATCTGTACGGAATGTTGTGTTTAAATTAACAAATAACAAGTACAGCCCTTTGCCGTTTCCACGACTGTGTTGCTCATGAATGGGGTTTTTTGTTTGTTCCTGTACAGCACTTAACCACGATGGTTATTGCGAGATGGAGTAATCTGGACTAGTTGGTGTATATCACTCACCACTGATGCTAGAGCTGGATTGTAACTCGGGTATCGAACGAACAATGATTTTTTTTTTAAGTGCAATGACGCGCCCAGCAGTAATTCGTTGTTCTGCTATGTCACGTTAAAGTAAACGCAGCAATACGAATATCAGTTGTAAACATATTCACGTGGTATATAGCGATGTAAATGTTAAAGTATGTGAAACTGGCAACGATGGTCATTAGTAACCCTTTACTTCGTAAGCATTCTGTCGATATACGGTCACGCCCGTGGATTGTATGTCCGGAATGGTTCCTGATAACACTTTATTGACGTGTACATCATTACAGTAAAAGCTGCTTTTGCTGGGTATAAAACCTTTACTGTAGGAATAGGTTTTTTTACCTTTTTAACTGGCACAACAACTGACACCTTTATTCAAGGCATCATGTTTGCAATAACCACAACACAAGCAGTCAAAATGCAAACAAAAGAGACAAGTCTGATAATAATATGCACTGTCCTTACTGTACTTGTTATTTACACCGGCTTTCCCATTTGGAGACGTCCATAAACGCACGAGGTGGGGGGGGGGTGAGAAATGTGACGTCACATCAAAATGCGCAACTTTAAATATAGACAACACGTTCTACTTAATTAAATAGACTTTTAATAAATGTTTTCTCCTACAACATCAGAGTGCAGCGGCACATTAAATACGCACTGCAATGACAATAGTTTAAAGCGATGTGAAGCGTGTTTTATTTGGGGGGGGCAGAGATTTGTGACGTCATATTTGAGTGGGGGGGTTCTGACTTCTTGTGACGCCGTGTGACGATGGGGGGGGGGGGGTAAAAAATCGCGTGACGTCATTTATGGACAGCCCCTTTCGTATTAATGCAACTCATGCGCGGCCAGCATCAGTGTTGTTATAACCCCATTGCAAATGTCAACGGAAGCGCCACGTCCATCGGTATCATCTGGTTTGACCTTTGTGCGAAATGCATTGGCTAATCATCAACCATTGCAATGCAAAATTAGAACAACCAGAAGACTGCCATGTGTTAAGGATAGGCATACAACGTTGCATCGTTTTAACAATGGAAATCCATTCCTCCACTCACAATGCATTAATTGTTTACGTGACAATGTATGATTTACGATGTATCCAAATGATATGATAATGTGCTAATGTATTTTTTTTTTTGCAAATGGGAGAGATAAAATTTAATTGGCACAAGACGACAGACAAAGTAACTGTAAAAAATAAGATGGAAAAAAACACGTTGCCTTTAGTCCGCTTGTGAAAATGTAACAACAACTGTCGGGGTAAATTATTCGTATGTTGTGAAAGTTACACATGACTGCAGTATTTGCTGCTGGATATTTCAACTATTTTAATGATGCACTCATCCACAGTGCAACTGAATTTTGAAATGAGTATAATTACATACCAACAGCGTATTCGCCCTGGCACGTTAACCAATTAAGCGGACGTGTCAATAGAAACATTTTTGTATTCTGCAAAAATTGTAGTCATGGTTTTTCATTGGTAACACTGGGTTTGATTCATGACTCTTGATATGTCGAGTTTGTACGTTATTTCACATGGTGTTATTTCGGCTTCTCTGTTTTCCTCCCATAGCGAATGTCATACAGTAGAATTATTGTGGCTCAGATATTTCAAAGCAGGACTCTTGAGAAAAAAAAAATCTTGAAAATCAGTGTGGCTTTCCTGGATAAATGTGTAATTATTATATTAGGTTACCCACATGGTGTAGAGTCGGTAAACTAATGATGATGATAATTGCCTCTTGTAATATATATGTTTAAGCAGAACTCTGTTCTGTGTCTCGACATGTAAATGATCATGTTTCGGTCCATCGATCTATTGTCTATCCAAATCAGTTATATCAATATTGTCCAGATTGTTAAACGGCTTATTTCGTAAATGCTGCTGGGTTACTTGGTGTTATGGCAGGAACAGCATTTGTCCCTTGTCTTGTGCCCGTTGTCCCGGTGGACGGAGGACATTGCAGACTGCCATGGAGTCGATGCTGAACAAGCTGAAGAGCACCGTCACCAAAGTGACAGCAGATGTGACGAGTGCTGTGTCGGTGGTACTGGGCAACCCGGTCACACGTGAGTTTGAAATCACCCGCCATGTGGCCAGTGGAGGGCCAGCACTGTCCTGGAAGATTTACCATGGCTTCAAAAAGTCTACCAAACAGGTGTGGAAATCGTCTTGCGTTAACGAGCCCATTCTCCGTTCGGCCTTCCTCTCTTTCTAGTTCCTTTCGGTTTTCCCGTACAACATACTTTTAATTTTCCCATTGTTGTTCATCCTGCATGTGTATCCAAATAGTGCCAGTTGTCTTCTCATTACTCCCTGCATCGTCTTCTTCTATGAAACATATCATTGAATTAATTTGATGGCTCCCTTAGCAATGCATATGTTATAAAAGCCTCCTACAACTGTTATAGCATGAAGTTAAAAGCAAATAGAGAGTTTCAATTACCTGTGTTTACTATGTTTAAATCACCTGTCATTGTACAGCTTTTTCAACTTTCATAAATTAATTGTAAGTTATTCTTTGAGGCAATAGTTTCATTGTACAACAGAGTAGTAATAGGGATAAAATTGTCTGATACTTTGTGAGCATAATATGCACATCGTGGTTTGTAGATTCTTATTAATTCTGCCACTCATGATACATTGAAATTATCATGTAAAGGATTTTATCTTCTACAATACGGTGAGGGAAAAAAGTATTTGATCCCCTGCTGATTTTGTACGTTTGCCCACTGACAAAGAAATGATCAGGCTATAATTTTAATGGTAGGTTTATTTGAACAGTGAGAGACAGAATAACAACAACAAAATCCAGAAAAACGCATGTTAAAAATGTTATAAATTGATTTGCATTTTAATGAGGGAAATAAGTATTTGACCCCCTCTCAATCATACAAATTTCTGCCTCCCAGGTGTCTTTTATACAGGCAACGAGCTGAGATTAGGAGCACACTCTTAAAGGGAGTGCTCCTAATCTCAGCTTGTTAACTGTATAAAAGACACCTGTCCACAGAAGCAATCAATCAATCAGATTCCAAACTCTCCACCATGGCCAAGGCGAAAGAGCTCTCCAAGGATGTCAGGGACAAGATTGTAGACCTACGCAAGGCTGGAATGGGCTACAAGACCATTGCCAAGCAGCTTGGTGAGAAGGTGACAACAGTCAGTGTGATTATTCGCAAATGGAAGAAACAAAAAAGAACTGTCAATCTCCCCATGCAAGATCTCACCTCGTGGAGTTGCAATGATCATGAGAACGGTGAGGAATCGGCCCAGAACTACACGGGAGGATCTTGTCAATGATCTCAAGGCAGCTGGGACCATAGTCACCAAGAAAACAATTGGTAACACACTACGCCGTGAAGGACTGAAATCCTTCAGCACCCATGAGGTCCCCCTGCTCAAGAAAGCACATATACATGCCCGTCTGAAGTTTGCCAATGAACATCTGAATGATTGAGGACAACTGGGTGAAAGTGTTGTGGTCAGATGAGACCAAAATGGAGCTCTTTGGCATCAACTCAACTCGCTGTGTTTGGGTGAGAACCTCCTTCTCTCAGCCAGGGCATTGAAAATGGGTCGTGAATGGGTATTCCAGCATGACAATGACCCAAAACACACGTTCAAGGCAACAAAGGAGTGGCTCAAGAAGAAGCACATTAAGGTCCTGGAGTGGCCTAGCCAGTCTCCAGACCTTAATCCCATAGAAAATCTGTGGAGGGAGCTGAAGGTTCGAGTTGCCAAACGTCAGCCTCGAAACCTTAATGACTTGGAGAAAATCTGCACAGAGGAGTGGGACAAAATCCCTCCTGAGATGTGTGCAAACCTGGTGGCCAACTAAAGAGACGTCTGACCTCTGTGATTGCCAACAAGGGTTTTGCCACTAAGTACTAAGTCATGTTTTGCAGAGGGGTCAAATACTTATTTCCCATTAAAATGCAAATCAATTTATAACATTTTTGACATGCGTTTTTCTGGATTTTTTTGTTGTTATTCTGTCTCTCACTTCAAATAAACCTACCATTAAAATTATTGACTGATCATTTATTTGTCAAGGGGCAAACGTACAAAATCAGCAGGGGATCAAATATTTTTTCCCTCACTGTATATGCACATTACATGCAATTTTTTTTTCTAGGCTGATGAAACTAAAGAGGCAGAACATACGTGACATTACGAATGAGACAAAAAAGAATTGAACATGGCACAATCGTTACAATTAATTGAGTCTCAGTGGGGTGGTTAATCATCACATGCTGAGGGCATACATTTTACATCTCTGTTAAGCAATACTTAGGCATGTAAAATTCATGTACACATTTTGGGCCATTTACCCTCGGCCTGTTTTTTTTTGTTGCCTTATGTACAATTTCGTACCAGCTGATGGGGTTTTCATCCATTAAAGAGATCATTACTATGTAAACAGTTATTGCCGTTTATGTACCCCCTGATTGTTTGCATTTGTCACATTATCTTTGCTCTCATTATGCTTAATGATTAATAGTGTAAACATCTCATCCAGTTGTGGTTGAAGAGCCTCTTGAAAGTACTTATGTATTATTTAAAATCCTGATGGCTGTTTCATGTGTGTGATGAATATGAATAATTTCATTCATTTAAAAGTGAAAATTTTGTTTATGTTAAACGAGAGGATGTATTTTTTGTATTTTCAGGACAATGGGATACACTGAATTAAATTGATGCGAATTTTATACAGCAGAAACATTTAGGAACAACACAATTTGGATTAATACAGCATTTTTGACCTAACTTTCGTGACTGCAGGAATTCATATTCTTTGGTTATTTTGGTAAAGTCACAGAGAAAAAAAAAGTGAGCCTACTGGCAGTCTATAATGTAAGCTTATTCTGGTTCTTTCAGTAACAAAAATAAATTAAAATAAACACAAAAACCACGACGTTTCGATCGTAACACAAGTAGTCGTCATCAGGAAAAGGGGGGGGGGGGGTTAGCCTGTGAAGGCAAACTGTTTATAAAGGTTTAGAGATGGGCGTCGCCCAAGTGTGTCAGCAGTATGATCTGATCCCATCTGTGAAGGACAAGATTCCTGACATGCAATATCCCGGCGTCTACAAACTAAGCTGTACCTGCGGCAGCAGTTACATTGGGGAAACTAAACGACATGTCTCGGACCGTGTCCGTGAGCACCAGGCAGAATTAAAAAACGGTAGGACCAATACTTCTGTCGTGGCCGAAATTTATTTCTCTAAGACGATGGTACTTTGCAAGCCTACTGGCTATCAACACAGATTCGTTCATGAAGCCATCCATATATACAGACACAGACACAATTTCAACCGTGAGGATGGTTTTAAACTCGGCAGTCATTGGAAAGATGTCATCAACCACTTTGGGTCATGATATTTGTGTTTTTTTATTGTCAACCTCCACCGTCAGCAGTGTGGGTGTGTGGAGATGATTGCCTGGCGGCCCTTTGATTGGTGTAGTTGCAGTTGCTTGTCTTTCCTCCCACATTAACATTAGCTGCCCCGCCCATGCTGCTGACACACTTGGGCTACATTAACATTAGCTGCCCCGCCCATGCTGCTGACACACTTGGGCTACATTAACATTTGCTGCCCCGCCCATGCTGCTGACACACTTGGGTTACATTAACATTAGCTGCCCCGCCCATGCTGCTGACACACTTGGGCTACATTAACATTAGCTGCCCCGCCCATGCTGCTGACACTTGGGCTATATTAACATAAGCTGCCCCGCCCATGCTGCTGACACACTTGGGCCACATTAACATTAGCTGCTCCGCCCATGCTGCTGACACACTTGGGCTACGCCCATCCCTAAACCTTTATAAACAGTTTGCCTTTAGAGGCTAACCCCCCTTTTCCTGATGACGACCGCATGTATTGCGATCGAAACGTCGTGGTTTTTGTGTTTAGTTTTCTTTTCTTTTTATTACTGAAAACTAGAATAAGTCTACATTTTCGACTGCCAGTACGCTCACTCAGGTTCAGTATAATAACCATTGCTACAGTCTACATTATAGACTGCCAATACGCTTACCAGATTAAAAACCAGTCTACAGTCTACATTATAGACTGCCAGTACGCTCACTTTTTTTTCTATCTACGTGACTTTACCTAAAGAACCAAAGAATATTCATAGAGCATGTTAAATGCAACCACGTTTCAAGACGATGTACGAAATAGTGAAGCATTGATTACGAGGAAAAGGAGGCATATAAATGTATATTTGTGAAGAGGCCCTCGGGCAGAGGAGAAGAGGAAGGTCCATAACCTGGGCTTAGATATGTGTAAGGTATCAAGATCATGGATAGTTTTTTTCAGTTTCATTTATTAGGTATAACCCTGTGAGCCATGAGACTCTTGACTCGGGTGCAACCGCAACAAACAAAAACATGAACAAAGAAACATCTTAAAGTGACGACCCGCAACAGAAACACCCAGGAAAAACCAGTGAAATATTTTAGAAAAAAGCACCGTATATCAATGCTGTGTGCAAAAATCCCAGTGGAATGCAAGTGAAACAATAACAACCATAAGACAATTTAGATAAAGTTATCAGGCTAACTTCGTACTTAAACAAACAAACATGGCTTAACCGTACGTTTTCGAAATCACCAAAATAAAGCTATAAAAACAATGTAACAGTGGTCATAGGAACTATAATTCAAATTGAACAATACACGATATACATAACATGTACGACCAAACTTTGCAGCCATAGCTGGCAGCATGAGTCACTCCATAACAGCAGGAGTAACACAAATTTTCAATGCACCTTTAAAGATCAGCTCACTATCATAAAAACTCAAGATCATACTTTGCAGCGGACATCCGGAGCGGTGCATTTGAATCCAGGCCACTCTGCATAGCAGTGGCAGCGGGGGGTGTACAGCTCCTCAAGAGCAGTTTTGAGTGCAGATCTCACAGGTAGTGATCCAAGTTGCAGTTTATTGGCGATAGCATTCCAGACCCTGGGGGCATCAACAGCAAAGGGCCTTCCTCTCGTATTTGTACGGCAATAAGGAATGTGGGGCTGGTAAATGAGCGAGGACCTTAGGTCACATTTGTTCTTCGAAACAGTGGGGAGATCCAGCAGATAGTCTGCTGATTTTTTTTTTGAAGGAGGAGAACTCCAGACATAGGGGGCCATAGGATAATGATTGACTGGGGTTTTGCCAGACATCCTTGGTTGATGGAGTGGAGAATACATGAAGGGGAGTAAAGGGTGTAGGAGTGGACGAGTGCATGGATGATCTTGACATTGGCGAGGGTGACCTTGAAGTTAATCCAAGAGTGGGTTGGTAGCCAGTGAACGGATTGTATTATTGCGGTGATGTGTTGTTGTTTATGGATATGTGTGTGAGGAGTCTGCCACTGGCATTGTGGATCACCTGGCATTTGGAGGTGAGGGATTTCAGGAGGCCATGAAGGAGAGAGTTGTGTTAGCCAAGTCGATATATGATGAAGGCATCTATGGAGGGTCTCAGCGGCAGCTTGGGCAACAAAGTAGAAACTGGGGAAGATGTTGCACAGATCGATGTCGGGGGTTTCTGCAGAATTAAGCTTTGTATGTAGAGAACTACAGGTCAAAATCAATGACAACTACAAAGTTACAATAATTCCCATTGTAATGCAAAGCTTACGTTACTATATGCTGTGCTAAGGTGATGGGCACAAGCTTGATATTTTATAAAGTTGCTGAACAGGAAAAAGTTATTTACTGAAGACAAACTGTCCAGCAGGATAATGAATGAAGAGTCAAAATCTTTAAGGTTGTATAATAGTCACCCAGTGTACTCATGATTGATGAACATTGGTAAATTTTCCCCCTTGGCAAGACCTTGCGGGAACAATTGCACCGATTACGCAACCCGGATGTAAAAAAAAAATTGAGTTGGCCCTAATGTGTTTTTTTCTCCTCCTCCGCAAAATCTTTGTCGCGTCTCCATCCCAGGAGGTGGCAGTGTTTGTATTCGAAAAGAAGCAAGTGGATCGCCTTGGAAGGACCGAGCGCGAGCACGCGGTGGAGGTCCTGAAGCGTGGGGTGCAGCAGCTCACAAGGCTGCGTCACCCGCGCCTGCTCACCGTGCAGCATCCCATCGAGGAGTCCAGGTCAGACCCCCGTCCTCAGCCAGCTGTGGGACTGTTTTTTTTTTAATGCTTCGTGTGTGACACAATATAACAATTTAGTAATGATTGATGATGATGATGAAAGTCAATGTGTCCTTCGAATAATAATGCAGACTGTGTACTGCGTATAATGAGGTTTTTTTTTGGAGGGGGGTACTCGTGAAAATTGAAAGTAAAAAAAATGGAAAGTTGTGTTCACGAAAGCTCACAAAACAGATACATTTCCACAGCAACGCTGGCTTGTGTTGTTGGCCGTATCTCCATGCCCTGCTGGAGTGTCATGCGTCAGACAGTCACAGGTTTGTCGTGGACCGTACACTAACTGCGGCGTTGGATTGTTGTGCATTCCAGAACTGGCTTGAGTTTTAGTTTTGTTGATCCATTGCTATATTTGTACCTTTTATATCTCTTCTTGTTATATATGATGGAAAAAGCCATAAAAATAACATTACAGGATGTACAAATGAAAATAACGAGGTTATGTTGAGAAAACAAATGTACAGTGGTGAGTAGCACCCCTGAATTATCCTGGTATTTTGAGGGTATTGCAAGTTTTCCTGTTACCAATTACAAAATGTAACTATTTTGACACCCAGAATTGTTTAGAAATCACGATTTTTGCATCTTGACTCGATGCGAGAATTTATTATTTTTGTCTATTTTTTGCCATCCCATTTGTATTCTACTTTAATCTAAATGATGTTAGCATATAATGTGCATATAATTTGAGTTAATCAGAAATAATCGATACTCTACAATTCAATGCTTGTATCTTGATTGTGAGAATCTGTTTTCTTTGAGTAATTAACACATCGTTAAGTGCTTTATCAATTTAATTTACATGAATGGGGTGGTGTGATGGAACAATGGTTTGCTCCCAGTGCTAAGAACGCAATGACCTTAGTTGAATCCATGGCTATAGCTCAAATGAGTGGTGAGTGATGATATATGAACTGGTCCTGGGCACTCCTGCCTTCGCCAACCTGCACTGACCATCTTGGTGAAATATGGTCATACATCCCCCATGAGCGACATGGCAGTGGATTGACAAAGGGCGGTATGTGTGTGTGTATATATTCATATTTATTTCTGCTAATGTTGTCGTGTACACCATTGTCCATAAACTTGGAGATATTCGTATTCCTTGGGTCTTTCGGTAAAGTCACGTAGATAGAAATAAATAAAAAATATCACGACGTTTCGATCGCAACGCAAGCAATCGTCATCAGGCGGAAGAAACTCTTTCTTCTGCCGAAAGACCCAAAGAATATGAATTCCTGCAGTCACGAAGGCTTTAGGTCAAGACTTGAACATATTGTTGGTTAATAATAGAATACTGCATTGCTCTGCATGAAACACAAACTACAAGGGCCTTGAGTTTCTTGCATTAGACAATACAGCAATGAGTATGACCATGCCCAACAATTGCTGCCTTTCATAGCATCGACTTTGGTTTTTCAGGGACTGTCTGGCGTTCTGCACAGAGCCCGTGTTTGCGAGTCTGTCGAATGTCCTTGGCCAGCACGAAAATCTCCCGTGTCCCGTGCCGTTGGAGATTCGCGACCACCAATTGCACGACGTGGAGACCAAATACGGGCTACTGCAGGTAAACGGACCCAGGGAGAGTGCACACTCGGGCCTCTGACTCCCTTGATCTTCCGCGTATGGTGTGCAGGGGTCGACCAGCAGCGACGTGTATTTGTTCAAAGTCGACGAGGTTGGTGAGTGAGCCAGCGGGTGGCGACTTCAGGAGTAGCCTGATGAATATATGAAATGCTGCCAGTGAATGAGTCCCTAATGGGTAGTCTAAGATGACAGTGCTTTTGTCTGGATTAAATGTTTGTTCTTTCTAATCTGACCTTTTGCACTTGACAACACACACTGTATTTATTCCTGGGCAATGTATAGATTAGAGACTTGTGAATGGAAAATGTCCCTCTGTATGTCGATGCACCTTTATTTATCTTGGGACATTGTGCACCCATTCACCGGCTTTGGGGCATTCTGAGACGATGTGTCGTTTGCAATGAGAAATTATCTGTATTAGTAAAATTACATTATTTTTTGCGAATTATAGGCAGTTGAAAATATGTCCAGATTGTCACATTGTAAATGCCTGCTTGGGATGAGTTTTGCTGCCAGCTTCTAGCTAACACTGCCCTTATACAATACTTGAATTATGGGCATTGGTGAAATATATGCACATTTATAAAGATGTATTTTTATTCCACATTGATTGTGAATATGTCAATGAAATGTAATAAAAAAAGTAAGCCCTTTCCCATTGAAAATGGCAAAGAATAAAACAACAATTTTGACAGAGACCCTTTCAGAGACATTTCGGGAAAAGGACCTGTCGGCTACACATTGATTATTTATTTTGCACATTTCACTTAAATTTCTCCCATAAATACGGCGCTCGCTGTGTGCTTCCGAACACAAGTGCCTAATTTGAGTGTCGTTTTTTTCTCCTTGCTCCCGTCAATGCATTGAAAATTGCACCTAACAAAAAAGCTTGCATGTCATCATTGGCTAATGTATGCGTCCTCTTCAATAGTCAGAGTGTGTTGTGTCTGGAGTGTTTTTAATGAGTGAATATAGTTTGAAAAGCGATGTGCAATTTTGCTTTTACCCCACGTTTTTTCCCTCTTTCTAAACAGCTCGCAGAAGGCCTGTCCTTTCTACATAATGGCGTTAAGATGGTGCATGGTAACCTTACACCGGAGAACATTGTCCTGAACAAAAATGGGGCATGGAAGATCATGGGGTTTGATTTCTGCATCTCCTCCAGCAACCCGTCCGAGCGAGAGGTGATATCTGTGAACACCGCACATTTGTTCGTGTGTTCGCAGGCACGGCAGCGTGCACGTGAATTTTAATGTCAATGCAAATTACAGCGTAAAGGAACGCTGTGTTTTGCTGCTGCTGCAGCATCAGCAGCATTTGTCAACACTTTAGTCCAAAAACACTGGGCAATTAAAGTGGCACTGAGAGTAGAAAAACACAGTTTGGGTCAACATTACAATTTATGTTTTTAATAAAGGCCAACCGGTAGAGACATTAACATCGTAATTTTTTTGACGTCATAATTCTATATCATTTTTTTTTACTCTCTTGTCCTGTATATACAGAAACTACAACTGGGTAAATTTCGATTTAAAGCTTTCGTGACTGCAATGATTCATCTTCTTTGGTTCTTTCGGTAAAGTCACGTAGAATGAGAATAAAATAATAAATTGATAAAATAAAATAACACAATAATATTCTCACGACGTTTCGGCCACAACACAAGCGGCCTTCATCAGGTGAAGGGAGCGAGACTGTCTGGTAGGACAGCGCTGGAGTGACACAGACAGTCTCGCTCCCTTCACCTGATGAAGGCCGCTTGTGTTGTGGCCGAAACGTCGTGAGAATATTATTGTGTTATTTTATTTTATCAATTTATTATTTTATTCTCATTCTACGTGACTTTACCGAAAGAACCAAAGAAGATACAACTGGGTAAATCACAAATCGCTCTAATCTTGCAGATGCATAATAAGCACATGGGCTGTGCTTCACAGGTCATCCGATTCAAGTTTTAAATGGTATGATTGATAAAACGACTTTAAATTATAGTCGGGAGCACTGCAGTGACCTTACTGGGGAGACGTATTAAAAAGTACGAGAGTTGACGTCGCAGTGATTTCACCAGAGCACATGTGAAAGTCAATTCGAAGTCTTTTACTCATCCGCAAAGCTTGAGGCATATTTCTGAGCTAACATCATTGTCTTCGTCTGCATCATTATCAACAGTGCTCAATCTACTGCTGAATTTATGCCTCCCCAATCCACCACCCACCTTAGCTATCTAACTATATATATATCTCTACACGGCTGGCAATCGCATGTTTTCGGTTGCATCTTGCTTCAAGCTTACGCGTTGGCGTCACGTGGCTTTTGCAGGTGGCTTTCACGTGCAAAGAGTGGGTGCCGGATCTGCCGCCCATGTGTCAGCCCCGGATTGAGTTCCTTGCTCCCGAGTACATCCTGTCCGTGAGCTGCGACGTGGCCAGCGACATGTACTCGCTGGGCATGCTCATGTATGCCGTGTTCAACAAGGGGCAGCCCATATTTCAGATGGACGGCACTCACGACATGTTCAAGAGCTTCAGTCGCCACCTGGACAAGGTCAGCCCTGTAGCAGTGCGCGGCATTACGAATCCCCCCGCCCGTGTATCTGTATTCTGTACGCGGTATTCTGTCCACGTGTGCCGGCGTTTTTATAAGGTCAACGTTTCTATTTGCAAGCTCCCTGTTTTGTTGTTACCATAATTTATGTTTATTATTTCCCTCTTAACCTTTGTCTGGATGTTTCATTGGTAGTTAAGTAATGTCTTTTTTTTACGTGTGGGGGGTGAGTTTTTTGCAAACGCTTCATGTTAAACACATTTTTAAAAGTGGCCATGGAATGTGTGTGCTAGATTGTGTGGGTTTCACATTGTGCTGTTGACCTTGATGTTAAAGGGACTCAGCCTTAACTGTGCCCTGTATTGGTAAACAGAGTGACATTGGAGATGTAGGAGAGTGATAAAAGCGGAAAGGTGATGTTTTCCAGATAGCCACCATTAGGGTGATGAGAAAAAATGTGGAGGACACTGGGTTTAGCGCTGCACCAGTCTGACCGGCCTGCAGTATAAAGCAAAGCTGCATTTTTTCATGTTTTCCCGAACTGAATTTAATTGTTCATTCATTGCATTTTGTACTCTCTTGTGCAGTTAAGTAACTTGGGACCATCGGTAATGCAGAAGGTGCCAGAGGATGTTCGTGACCACCTAAAGATGCTCCTAAATGTCACACCAACTGTACGGCCCGATGCTGATCAGCTGGCCAAGGTACCCCCCACTGCTAAGAGATACATGTACACCAATCCTACATTTCCGCGACCAGAAATGGACAACTTGGATCATGTCCACATGCTTCCCGAGCGACGTGATCTCGTAGGCTCCAACTCTCAATGCTATGTATTCCCCATCCCCTCCGCTTAACTCTCTTTCCTATCTTCTGCAGCCGAAGGGGAATGATCATGAAACAATAGTTTGAATAACAACAATTTACATTTATAGAGCATCTAAGTGTGACAGCATCTCAAGACGCAGTACAAAAACAGCGGGACAAAAAAAGAATGCAAGATGCCCACACGCTACTGATGGGGCCTAGATTAGGCAAAAAAAAAAAAAGATTGCTCCAATCGTCCGCTGTGTGTTTTTATAAATGTGCGGCATGTCGCTGATGGTCCTGGTGAAAGTGTGTGGCTACCTTCTGAGAGGTAGCCACAAGGCCTGCTTTTAAGGAGGCCCATACGATGCCGAGTAGGGGCTCGGTAAGGCTGCTGTGGGCACCTCTGCCGAGCCCGCGAGCACAGTTAAATTAACCGAGCCGACTCGCTTACCAGCGCTGGTGGAAATGTGGCGTTAGTGTATTCAGTATTAAAAAAATCCTTGTAATCTCTCTGGTACAATGAATCAAGCTTTATTGGAGGCATTATTCTGTGTGTGTAATTATTTATGCCCGTCTGCCCTTCCACAGAGCAGTTTCGTAACCGAGATGACTTGGGTTGGCTTAAAGCACTCACAAGCTAATCTTTGCCCTTAATGTGGAATGAAGCTGAATAAATTTTGAACCAGAACTGTGCTCCGCAAAGGATGATCTTTGTTAGGTAATTATATTTTCAGGCAGATTAGCATTGACATTCTGTTCATGAAAGAACACATCCTCAAGTGCAATACTGCACACAATGTTTAGGGATTAGACTTTAAAAAAAGTAATTCTCATTTATTAGCTGCAGTGCAAATGGTCTTTCTTTACATGTAAAATTTGATGGCACGCCTATTATGAGTGGCAAGGAAGCATGGAGAAATAGCTTGAAATATGTTACTATGTTCATATGAATGCGGATAATAAAGTAAATGTTGGCTAAATAATCTCTAATGTTAGCTGATACTCAATGTGATATGCAGACATGAAGAACAGATAAATGTTGGTACAGTGCACCATAGACATAAATAATGAACAGCTATATTTAAGCAGGCTAGGACTATCAATATGAGATGGTCAAGAGATGGAAAATACAGCTATGGATTTCTATGCATGTAGTGCTATGAGCGTTATCCTCTCTTATGCATGGGTTTTCCACGTAATCCGGTTTCCTGCAGCTCATTAACCATTTCCCGTTCCGATGACGTACTTGTACATCATGAAAACGAAACCGGACGAAAATTAAAATAAAAAAACATCGGTACCGATGCTCCCACAAGGCCATGCGGGTGGGAGGGTGTGTGGCACAGTTTGGCGCCAGCTAATCGTCGTGTTGCTATAGTTCTCTGCGGTGAGTACAATGTCTTTAAAAACAACGGCGCTATGCATCTAAATAAAATTAACGCTGAGCCGCTTACACATTCTAAGATTCGGAGGTCAACGGGACCCACCCTGCAGCTTGCAGATGTCTCGGAACAGGAAAGGGTTAATGGAATTGGTCAAACATCCCAATGCAGGACCCTCCTGATGAAAGTATTCGGACCCATTGTGCCTTCCCTGCATAAAGGGTATTTATCTTGATAAATTCATAATTGAAGTGGGAATAGGCAAAGCTCTCAAATTAGGCATTATTGGAGCATAAAGTTAATATTATTTAACTGTAAGGACTATTACATGTAAAAGGTATCTTGAAAAAACGTAGGTGTATGTATATATTTTTTATTGTTTCATCCACATTTTCTTCATTCGAACACATTTTGACGGTCCACTTTTGATTTTGGAACCTCCCCATGAATGAGCACACAATGAACTGCATTATTCACTTTGTTTAACACATCTCACCGTGTGGACAATTAGCTCTTGTACGTTATCAGGTTTTTTTTTCCAGGACACCCGTCATTAGTCTGTATCTCACCATTTTCAATGCTCAATAAAGGTAAATCCAAATTTGTTTCCATTATCAATACTAACGACGTAAAACAAATGTAGTGGTGTTGGTATAACCTAATTCACTTTTGTTCTTACGTTTCATCACAGATTCCATACTTTGATGACGTAGGGGCCATGACGCTGCAATACCTGGACTCCTTGTTTCAGCGCGACAATCTGCAGAAATCGCAGTTCTTCAAAGGCTTATCCAAAGTCCTGTCGAAGCTCCCAAAGGTACTTGTGTGCTCTTTGCGTACAGCGCAGTATCGTAGGCGCAGATTTAGTTTTTATCATAGGTAATGTAATGAGAATTTACTTCACCATTAATCTTTATTGGCATGGTAGGGGTGCCTCTTTGTACATTGCTTGCTTTAGTGCAGTGGCTCTTAACCTTTACCGCAGCCTTGCACCCCTTTGGTTCTCAGAAAGGGCATCTCGCACCCCCACGGGGGGTACGTGCACCCCAGGTTAAGAACCACTGCTGTAGTGTGTGTGCACCAATCCGTCACTGCTTTTGAGGATATGCCCTTTGTGTATAGCTGGTGGGGGGTAGAGTAGTGACACATTGATTCACGCTCTGTGCTATTAATCTGGCAACCATGCGTGGAGTTTGCCCCACCACCACCCCCCCCCCCCCAAACTGGCCACCTTTATTAATTCATTTCCAGGAGTCTACAATAAAGATTCAACAGAAAGTAATTAATTATATGCACCCGCGATTCCTAATGTGAGGGACAAAGCGAAGCCCTGTCCCGCCAAATATAGAAGTCAAACGCCGCCTATACTGGCAACTTAAGTCATATTATTTGGGTCTTTCGGTAAAGTCACGTAGGTAAGTTCAACCTATCTACATGACTTTACCGAAAGGCCCAAAGAATATGAATTCCTGCAGTCACGAAAGCTTTAAGTCAAGATATAACTTAAGTTATAGTTGTTACCGTAGCTAATAGTGGCAACTGATATCTGAACTGGTCCTGAGGCACCCCCTCTGACCAACCAGTACTAACCACCTTGGGGAAGTATGCTCACGCAACTGATATGGTGGGGGGAGGATTTCGAACAGCAGTGGACGGACAAAGGGCTGGAAATTTTATTTTTTAGGCTGGTGAGTTTACTTCCCTGCAGCCAGATCACTGAAAGAGAATAATTGGTATATTGATGGCAGCTACGGCCTAGAATTGTCACTGCTTTGCAAACAACCTTGCTGTTCGTAACTTAAGTGCGCCACAGCGGCGAGATGTTAACTGCCTAGCCTAGGATACAAGAGGATGTGGGTTCAGTCCTGACCCTGATGCCTGTATATTTGGAATTTGCATGTTCTCCCCGTTGTCGCGTGGATTTTTCTCCGAGTCCTCCAGGTTTTCTCTCCACATTCAGAACCTGCTGTCAATTTCCATATGATAAGCCACTTCGTTGAGCTACCATTTGTGGCCAGGTCGCTTCTGAAAAAGAGCTATATAGCTCCGTTTAAAAATAGTTTAAGCTCAACAATATCCATATAATGGCCATGTTAATATCAGGGGTGGACATATTGGCATGCCGGTTGAAATGCATGTTTTAACTGATAGGTATTTAACGATGCATTAAAACATTGATTAAAATAGATTCTAATGCTTTTGGTAAAGGCGTCACATCATGCATGTGATAATTACAATTTTAAAAATGTTGAAAATGTTGTCATACATTCCTGCACACGAGCCGATTTTATTGCTTCATCTTTATGGTAAGAGGGTAACTACTTAGAGAGGCCTTTGTTCAGCATCGTGCTGTCTTGGCTGACGATGATATGCCAATGTTATTTTTAGGCTAATGATTTGAACAAAACTGTAAAAATGAGTCGATAAAGACAAACAATCAACAGTTAAAGCTAATAAACTAAAATAACTGATTCTTTAATTGAATTGTGATCCAAATTAGTGACTTTTCTTTGGATTGGCAGCAGAGTTACATGTTACTCACCTCGTGATGATGTACATATGTCTCTGCATTGATTATAATTGTTGAACAACTACTTAAATCAGAACAAATCTATCACTGGAGGCATGTCGACTTCACAAATCCTGCTTGTGTTACTGTACAATACAAGTTGGATTTACAAAGTATCATACAATATTGAAATCAAGATGCCGTACAGAACAGTGGGACATGGGGATCCTGGGCAAATAATGATAATTTATTGAATTCGTATGGAAAAATAGGCAGGCTTAAAGAGGAAGATCTTGAGCCTGAATACTATAAATTATGTCAGTGGTTTATCTTTTGGCGGTGCAAGGGCTTAACAACGACCACCACCACCACCACCTTGTGGCATTCATTTCAGAGGGTGGTGCAGCAGCGCGTGCTGCCCAGCCTCACCACGGAATTTGTGAACCCTGACATGGTTCCCTTCGTGCTGCCAAACGTGCTGCTCATTGCCGAGGACTGCACCAAGGAGGAGTACGTGCGGATGGTGCTGCCCGACCTCATCCCCGTCTTCAAGCTGCAGGAGCCCATCCAGGCACGGTCAACAACGTCGTAGCCCTGTGCTGCTGTCGGTTTTTGGCGCTGCGTGCGACGCTGCTCCTTCACCGCGCTTCGAGGTTGTGCCGACGCGTGCGTCGCCCCGGGAAGTGTTTTGGGGGGGGGGGGGGGGGGGGGTAGCCGGTGATGCAGCGGTAAGCACGCCGCGGTACCAATCCTGGCGACCCGAGGTCGATTCCCGCTAGCGGCCAACAACACGGCGACGATTAGTTGAAGCGATCCTGGGCCCCTCCCTCGAAGGTTGAATCGGCCTCAAATGAGTACCTGGTGCGGTGTGTAAAAAAAACAAAACATCAGCGCTGCGGAGGCAAAGGCGACCAGGCGCGATGCTGGCCACACCACTCCTTCGTCTGTCGTGTCGGCCTTCATTGGCGCTCGCTTAACAGCACTTGCCCCAACAGTCTGTTAAGGCTCTATGTGAATCTTTGTCTTTGTACGGCATGATGTCCAACGTTTCACCCTATGCTCTGGGAGCCTCATGAAATGAATGGAGCCGCCCGCGTTCTTCCTCAATTATATCAAGTTGCCGGCTGCTGCTGGTGTTGATCTGGGCTGGACAGCGTCAGACTTCGATGCGTCTGCCCACAATTATCTCGTGTTTTGAGAGCAGTGAGGTGTTTGTGCAATAATCTTTACTGTAAATTTAAACCGTAATGACAATGGGGTTGCGTAAATTTGCCGGACGACGTGCTGTGACAGTGTATGTGATGTGCAAGTGGTATGCTCGCCATTAATTATATGTATCGTTGTACCTTCACCTCTGCTTGCATGAAGGCTAGCAACATGGTGAGTCTTGTGTCTCTTGCAACCGCTTGTTATCTTATTGTGGCATGTACCAGACTGTCAATGTGAACACTGCAATTATGAAATTGTGGTGGGGTCTATTTATCTTGCCTTGAGATTGCTTTGGCCTATCGTCCAAAATGCAAACTTGTAATTTGTACTTTTAACTTACTGCAGGTTCTGCTGATATTTTTGCAAAAAATGGACCTGCTGTTGACGAAAACGCCGGCAGAAGACATCAAGCAGCACGTCCTTCCCATGATCTTCCGAGCCCTGGAGGCTCCATCCACACAGATCCAGGTGGGGGCAGTGCGTTTTGTGAAATGGCACCACCTTGTTCAAGCAAGGCGAGCTATATTCCACTGGTACGACATAATCTCTGATGATGCCGAATGACGCTGCCAGTCTTTTCACCCGCACCCATAAGCGTGGCCACATCACCCCAATACTCAAGGCTCCTCCACTGGCTCTCTATCCAATCCCAGATAAGTTTCGAAATCACAGTCAGTGTCTTAAACATCCTCCTGCCTGCTTTTTTCCTCTCATTTCACTATACTCTCCTCAATGTGCTTTCTGCTCCAGCAATCAAAGCCTTCTGTATAATTCTGCTGTCAGTGGGAGGTTGCTGTTTCTCCTCTGCTGCCCCTATAACTCGGAACTCCCTTCCCCCAGTCAGCCATGTTGTCAACTTCCTGCTGCTCTTCAAGTCTAGCCTCAAGACCATCCTCTACGCATGGCTTTTTCTCTCACTGTATTAATAAATACATAACTATGCCTCCAGGATGCCCTTGTCCCACTGTTCTCTACAGAATCTTGAAATGTGGTTGCATTGAGATGCTAAATAAGTCCAACTTGTATTGCACAGTAATATAAGCAGCATTTGCAAAGTCTAAATGAGCCCAGTAACTGATGTTATCTAATTTAATTAGTGATCAAATAATGAATGCATGGACATCTTCAGCAGATGCAAACATTTTTAACTTAGATGGACCTCAATAATTTTAGCCATACAGTGGCTCAGTGTGGTGTGTTTGATGTTGGTCGACACACAGGCTCCTGTGATGTTTCACGCTTGCCACTTGTGTTTCCCTAGGAACTCTGTTTGGGAATCATCCCTACGTTTGCCAACCTCATTGAGTACCCGTCGATGAAGAACGCCTTGATTCCTAGAATCAAAAACTCCTGTTTACAAACCACGTCTTTAGCGGTGAGTCTTTCCTCCTGTGTGAATAGCTACTGAAAGGCCGTATTGTGTCGAGGTGCCGCTGCATGCTTAAGCCTGCCGATGTATTTATTGTTTCAAAGCAAGGAGCACGGTAGAATGTTTTTCATGGGAAGTTTCCTTACTGCAACGCTCAAGTTATATCAGCGTACAGGCAAACACCTGCGCACAGCTCACTGTACCGTGCGTTTATCATCACCGTGTTTGCCGTCGTTCCAGTTTATGGGTTAATGCCGTGTTTATTCCAGCGCATTAAAAGGTCCTGCCAAAGTTCTTTACAAGAGTTACTCTTTTTTTTTGCGAGCACGTTAGTGAAAATAACCGTGCGCTACAAGTGGACTTCAACGCAGCGCCAGGCACTGTAGCTCGCCGTTAGCATGCACACTCAATGCTCGTTATCCAATTTACACTCCAGTGGAGGAGATTGGTTGGAGGTGGGGGATGCAATATTGACCATGTCAATAACAATTGTATTGTCTCTCAAATCCGTGGTCCGTACAAGGCACCTATTCAGACTTGCCTTCCCATAGAATATACAATTTTAAACAAAAACCCTCTTTGTTTTTCATTTATTTTATTTACTGCTTAACTTTCTTACGCGATTCGTTGCGCACGGCTGCACTTTATTTTGCGCTCGGTTGCAATTTCACTTTTGCTCAGCCGGTGTTCGCCACTGACGCTGTTACGGGTTTCTTTTTTCACTCCCGTTGCTCCGTGCCCCCTCCACCGTTCCCGTTCCCTCGTAATGTGCGCCGATGCATACTTTGTTGAGGGCGATATTGGCACGTAAAAATTAAGATCGAACGGTTGAATTGTGAGCATGTGAACATGTGCACACGCCATTCTGTCAGGTGCGCGTGAATGCCCTGGTCTGCCTGGGGAAGCTGCTGGAGCACATGGACAAGTGGTACGTGCTGGACGAAATCCTGCCCTTCTTGCAGCAGATCCCGTCCAAGGAGCCTGCTGTTCTGATGGGCATCCTAGGTACGTGCAGAGGACCTCCGTTGCACGCACCGCAAAGTGATCGTGTCGCCCGTGTCGCATCGTTGAGCTTAATTACGGCTGACGAGCTTATGGCTGACATTATTTGTTGCATCTGCCCAACCTAAAGAAAAATCTAAATCACAATTGAAATTAGAAATGTGAGCACGTAGATTACTGAATTATGCAATTACCCAGGAGGCCGCTGTGCGCCCATAGACTGCAAGAAGATCCTGCATTGTATGTTTTTATACTTGGATGTTTTGCAACATGCGGGTGTGGGGAACAATCCAAATGCTGTATGTTGTTAGATAATATGAAGGTTAGACAAATAATGCACATAAAATGTTACATAAAAGGGCATAATAATATTTTTCACAAAATGTATTTGTCGGATTAGTTTCGTGTCGGGAAGGTCTATTTTTCCCCGTTTAAATATGTTTATGCATGTTTTTGCATTGTAAGTGTACGTGGTTGAATAAGGGGCAGTGACTGAAATCAATTCCTTAATAAACCGACCGTGATCGCAATGTTCACTAGACCGTGACCAACGTGGGCATGACTTAACTAGCCCCCAGCACAGGACCCAAAGTGAAATTGACTTGGTGGCTGAAATGGACTGAAAAAATGTCTGGCCTTGACTTGCTAAGTAGTTAAACTAAAATAAATGCTGACTCAACCTATGAGAGTTAGATGTTTACACATAGACATTTGTAAACAGCACTGAGGATTTACAGGCAACAACGTTTGCACTCCCAAAGCTGAAATAATTTTATATTGTCAAATTAAATTCACGCTTTTGAGGGCTGTGAGTACAAGGTAAGATTGTTGTTCCTAGAGCTTTTTGTTTTTATATTGACATGTCTATGTATGTATGTATGTTGAACTTCTGTAGCAGTGTACATAGCCAAACTTAACCAGAGGTGCGGGGGGAGGACAGCAAACTAAACACAAAAAGTGGTTCTAAAGAACTGAGTTTTCAATTTAGACTTATAAGTGCAAAGCCCCAGTGGCTCCAGTTTAGCAGAGTGAGTGACCCCTTTAGTAAGCGTGCCGTCAGCCAGATTGAAGTTGTAAAAATTAACAAGTGACTTGAAGGAGATTGTAAAGCTGTCAGTAGACGTGTCGTTGAGTGAGAACGTTTGGCAATTCGTTTTCCTATTTCAGCCATTCAGCTTCTAATGGGGCGGTGCGTTGTGCAGTTCAGACCCTGGTGGACTTGTTCATGCCTCTCATCCACACATGCATTTTGTATAATTCGCCGTGTGACACATTCCATTGGTAGCATATTCAAACGCAAAAAAAACACAATACATAAACGCATCATCACATACCAAGTGCATGTGTATAGTTAAATGGGTTTGAGGCAAAAGTCAGGAACCATACGTCTGTCTGCTAAATATTAGCAAATATCTCAATCCCTTTCCCATACACGATGCTCAATTCCAGTCTCGTAGACGTTTAATGTTGAGGCCACCTCTTCTCTGTGCACACCAAACAACATACATATCGTGGTCTTGAAGTTCAGAATCTTTATTTAGATTGGAGGAATGCAATGAGCTTATGAAGCTCTTTTTCAAGGATGTGCGGTAAAATTGCTATAGTTTCTGACTTTTGCCACACCGTGTACATTTTAAAGCAGCCCTTTGAAATAAACTCTCCCAGTTTGACCAATGTGGATGAGGGCTATGTGAGCTGAGTTACATTTCTGGCCTTTGTTTCCACAGGAATCTACAAGTGCACTTTCAGCCATAAGAAGCTTGGAATCACGAAAGAGATTCTGGCTGGGAAGGCCCTCCCCCATCTCATCCCTCTGTGCATTGACAACAACCTCAATCTGAACCAGGTCAGAGATGACACAATGTGATAGTTAGGTCTGGTCAAGGCCTGTTGTATTCAAAAGTCTCATTACGTTTACGGCTGCATTCCGCACATACACGGCCAAATTATTGGTTTTTTTTAATTCCAGGCCTGCTCAAAGGAAGAATCAAAACCCAGCTGTTGCAGGCTGACAATCACATGGTTCTACAGTGGCCCCGCTTAAAATCATTAATGGGGGACCTCAGCTGCAAATTAAAATGGGCATATATGTACAGGGAGGGAAAAAAGTATTTGATCCCCTGCTGATTTTGTCCGTTTGCCCACTGACAAAGAAATGATCGGTCTATAATTTTAATGGTAGGTTTATTTGAACAGTGAGAGACAGAATAACAACAACAAAATCCAGAAAAACGCATGTCAAAAATGTTATAAATTGATTTGCATTTTAATGAGGGAAATAAGTATTTGACCCCTCTGCAAAACATGACTTAGTACTTGGTGGCAAACCCCTTGTTGGCAATCACAGAGGTCAGACGTTTCTTGTAGTTGGCCACCAGGTTTGCACACATCTCAGGAGGGATTTTGTCCCACTCTTTGCAGATCTTCTCCAAGTTATTAAGGTTTCGAGGCTGACTTTTGGCAACTCGAACCTTCAGCTCCCTCAGATGTTCTATGGGATTAAGGTCTGGAGACTGGCTAGGCCACTCCAGGACCTTAATGTGCTTCTTCTTGAGCCACTCCTTTGTTGCCTTGGCCGTGTGTTTTGGGTCATTGTCATGCTGGAATAATACCCATCCATGACCCATTTTCAATTGCCTTGCTGAGGGAAGGAGGTTCTCACCCAACATTTGATGGTACATGGCCTCATCCATCCTCCCTTTGATGCGGTGAAGTTGTCTTTTCCCTTTAGCAGAAAAACACCCCCAAAGCATAATGTTTCCACCTCCATGTTTGACGGTGGGGATGGTGTTCTTGGGGTCATAGGCAGCATTTCTCCTCCTCCAAACACGGCGAGTTGAATTGATGCCAAAGAGCTCCATTTTGGTCTCATCTGACCACAACACTTTCACCCAGTTGTCCTCTGAATCATTCAGATGTTCATTGGCAAACTTCAGACGGGCATGTATATGTGCTTTCTTGAGCAGGGAGACCTTGCGGGTGCTGCAGGATTTCAGTCCTTCACGGCGTAGTGTGTTACCAATTGTTTTCTTCGTGACTATGGTCCCAGCTGCCTTGAGATCATTGACAAGATCCTCCCGTGTAGTTCTGGGCTGATTCCTCACCGTTCTCATGATCATTGCAACTCCACGAGGTGAGATCTTGCATGGAGCCCCAGGCTGAGGGAGATTGACAGTTCTTTTGTGTTTCTTCCATTTGCGAATAATCGCACCAACTGTTGTCACCTTCTCACCAAGCTGCTTGGCAATGGTCTTGTAGCCCATTCCAGCCTTGTGTATGTCTACAATCTTGTCCCTGACATCCTTGGAGAGCTCTTTGGTCTTGGCCATGGTGGACAGTTTGGAATCTGATTGATTGATTGCTTCTGTGGACAGGTGTCTTTTATACAGGTAACAAGCTGAGATTAGGAGCACTCCCTTTAAGAGTGTGCTCCTAATATCAGCTCGTTACCTGTATAAAAGACACCTGGGAGCCAGAAATCTTTCTGATTGAGAGGGGGTCAAATACTTATTTCCCTCATTACAATGCAAATCAATTTATAACATTTTTGACATGCGTTTTTCTGGATTTTGTTGTTGTTATTCTGTCTCTCACTGTTCAAATAAACCTACCAGTTGGCAAATGTACAAAATCAGCAGGGGATCAAATACTTTTTTCCCTCACTGTATATTGGGCCAGTGTGAATTGAGAAAATCTTGGCAGTACACACACTTGATGTAATAAGCTCCTGCCACTTTGAAAAATAGGACATACCAAAGTAAAAACCTCAAGCGGGTACTTATACCTGTGTTCCATTTGCTTGATTGTGTGCATTAAAGTACCACCAACACTGCAGGATAGATGATTTACTATGAATATGTACACATACCCACAGTAATTCAACTCCATAAAATAAAGCAGGATTGATACTCTTTGGTTCTATTGTGTAAAGTCACGTAGGTAAAAAATAAAATAACAAAAATCACGACGTTTCGGCCACAACACAAGCGGCCTTCATCAGGTGAAGGGACGAGACTGTCTGGAGGACAGCGCTGGAGTGAAAAAAGCCACGCTGTCCTCCAGACAGTCTCGTCCCTTCACCTGATGAAGGCCGCTTGTGTTGTGGCCGAAACGTCGTGATTTTTGTTATTTTATTTTTTACCTACGTGACTTTACCCAATAGAACCAAAGAGTATGGATCCTAGCAGTCACGAAAGCTTTAAATCTAGAAAGCAGGATTGCTCTGTTATATAGAGCCAAAAGTTACTTCCGCCAATTTGTAAATAACTTCGCAGCCACACTTTCTTAGGCAAAGCCTTTCCCTGCATGGTATTTGCCAAAAACTAACACCGTATGCTGAGACTTTGAACCCCTCTCTGGTAAGTGGCTTGCAAATGTATATTTAAATGGCGATGTGGCCACTTGTCAATGTTAATCTTTTGGACGTGCAGGAGGTATGTGCACGCCACGTTCGCCACTGATCGTGGCGAATTGCAAAATTAACCAGTGCACATTTCCATTTGCAGACGCCTAAAGGCCTCCATTCATTTTCAGACTTGCAGTTCAAATGTAGTCTTCTAATGGCACTCCCAAGTATTTATGACGGTCTCTCCATATGCGCACAACAGTTGGCTTCACTCTCGCAGCCGTTTGACCATTCACGGTTGAATAAACAGTAATTGATATTAACACGGTGCAGTTTGATGTTGGAAAGAGGAAGCATTTAGAGCCAAAAAAAATAATACATCTCCTTGCAACGCGGGTCTCGTTTTCGTGCATGCTGCAGTTCAATTCCTACATGGGCATGATTCGGGAGATGCTGTCCAAGGTGGAGTCGGAGCATCGCACAAAACTGGAGCAGATCAATGCCATGCAGGACCAGCAAAAGTGAGATTCTCTTCGACACTTAACACCTCCGATTAGCACGGTTGGCTACATACGGTGCAAATAAGTTCAACATACATACAGCCTTCCATTCATCGCTTTTCCAAGACATGGTGAAAACGACTGCTTGTGCTATTTCGAGTAAGAAAATATGAGGTGCAAAAAAACATGCTATCATGTAAAAATATTCTTGTCAAAGAATCTAACATTGTCTTGTTTTTTTGTTGCTTCATTTGTTCCCTTACTGTTTTTAGCATGCATAGTTTATAATTGAAATGTAGGTTAATGTTTATGCAATACAATATTTTGGTTTTAAATTATATTTATTTCAGCAGGAAGGGCCCATTGAGCTGTTAGGCTCTTTCATGGGGCACATGTTATACAGATGTCACATAGTTGAACACAGGCTGTGCATTTCTCCACAATTATGGCTGTCACCTGATGACACTAGTTGTAATTACCGGCAAAACGTCGTACTCGAATTGTAAATGTTGTGGTTTTACTCTCCATCGCACCGGTGCGCTGAACCAGTATCTATTTGGCATATTTGGTTTACATTACAAACCTTACTAATTGGCTGTGTCGTGTGGTGGTGGATTTAACGACACATTAATATTTACGCACTCTAACCCAGAAAACCTCTTATGGATGTTCTACAGCACAGATCTTTTGAGGCAATCATATACATTTCAGTGAAATGCCATGAACAATTGGAAAATGTTTTGGAGGGTATTCTTTTTTTTTATATTGTTTTCCTGTGTTAGGAGCCTCAATCTTCCAGCACAGCTTTCTAAATCGGACGACAGTCGGCAACCCAGTGAAAAAAATCAGGTACGTATCCAAGCTGTTGTGCATGTATTGCACGTGCACTCCATCCGTAACGCGAAGCATTCACATTGAAAGCGATGGACCGTGTTTCACGGCTGTGTAATATTTGCCTCCAAAGCAGGTGGATAGCATCTTTAAGAGTTTAGGTCTGGAGTCATCCTCGTCACCCTCTCAACCACCCAACGGAGCTAACAGCAGAGAGAATGGCCCAGCCTCGTCACAGCACGGCAAGGTCTGACCCTTTCTCAGCAGATCGTGCGGCTGATGTGGAAATTGATTTATTTCCACGTTAAATACCTGCAATAAATGCGCTGCCGCAGAGATGGCGGATTACCACCGAGTGGACAAATGGAATTGGGAAATGATGCGCTATCGTAATGAGCGCATTCATAAACATGACGGACGTGTTTTTAAGACAACAGATGAATGCTCGCCTGTGCTCTTTAAATTGCATTGGTGTGGCATGAATTCAACACGTGCATTAGGTGTCCCGAGTTCGTTGGTGCGTTGGTAACCATTGTGCGATGCACTCGGCACTTTGCGTTGCGGTTCAGAAGGGATGGCACGGAGGCTACTCGGGAATGATTCAGTGTTTTCGGGTCGGGCGAGTGCAGACGCGAAAGTTTTTCCCATCGCTGGCAGCGTTGACGGTGAACTTGAGTGCGGAATGCAGCCCATTATTTATTTATATCGCCTATGCGTTATTTATTTCGCGCTGCTCACGTTGCTCTTGTTTAAGGGCCACCCTTGGTGGGTTTTTTTTTTGTTTTACCACTGCAGGTCTCGCTGTCGTTGGAGGAGAAGCAGAAACTGGCGAAGGATCAGGAGCAAGCGCACAAGCTGAGGAGTCAACCAACGCTTAATCCCAAGCCGTCTGCCGCAACTGCTGCCAAGCCACAGGTAGGGCAACGGCGTGCGTCCTGCTTGTCCTCTGTTGATAATAAAGCCGACGAGAGCCCAACGACTGTTTGCACCCGAGGGCACCGAGTACAGTCGCTGTGACGATGGTTCTGGTGGCATTATGTGCACGTTGCAGGAGGAACGCGTGTGTGTGAATACAAAGCATATGCATATCTGCGAATGCTTAAATTCGCCGCATACATAAATAATGGGGGGGACCACTCGCATGTACACATTCACAGTTTTTATTAATTCCAAAAGAATAATTTGTCTCTTAAGCTTAGACACAAAGAATGAGCACTGCAGTTCCATATCCCTGCAGAGAAGCAAATAACAAGACAATGAACCATGCTAAAGCCAGTTAGTGCAATTTTATTTAATGGATATTTTCAATAAATTACCACAAAATGCTTGTTGGAAAAACACTGAATAAACTACATTGTCTTGTGCCTTGCTGACTACTGCCTTCATTATGTATTTTTCTCGTGTTTGAGCTGGGTTTTTTTTAAAGGGAAAATTACAGACTGGGCAGGCTTTTTTTTACACGTCTGAACATTTTGATAAAAGACCAAAATCTTCAGTGGGCCAATAACAAGCAGGCTTGAATCAAATCGGCGGAACGCAAGGTCAGGAACTCAAAAGGCTAATGTAATTTTTATTGGTCGTCTGTTCAGGTGTCACATTGCACATTTTATCTTTACATCGGAGCTTCCGCTTGGTGGATTTGCAATTCGTTTTGTCATCTCTCCAGGCTAAGAACCTCACAGCGACACTGATCGCTGGTCCGCCGTCCATGGGAAGCCTGGCCATCGGTCAACAACAACCAGCCATGCCGTCCACGCAGACCGCCGGCTACGGCAACCCTTCTGGTGGGGGCTTCACGGGAAGCTCGGGCGGGTTTCCCGTTGCCGCGTCCACCTCCATGAGCAGCGGCGGCGGCGGCGGCGGCTTTGGCGTCGGCGCCACCATGGGCAACCCCGCGGGATTCAACGCCAGCGCATCTCCGAGCGCATTCGTCTCGTCGCCCATGAACAGCGGCGCCGCGTTCGCGGGCGGCGGCGGCGGCGCTACGTTCGGCCAGGGCGCGTTTGGCAACGGCGTCCCCAGGCTGCCGCAGTCCGGCAGCATTCCCAACTTTCCTGCTGCGCCTTTCGGCGGCGGCGGCGGCGGTGGCGGGGGACTTCACCAGCAGTCGGGAGCTGGTGCCCAACAGAAGCCGGTGAACTTGGCATCTTTCGATGACCTCTTTGGTCCGCAGAAGCCCAAGGTCAGCCTCAATCAGATTAGACCGCCGATGCAGCAGCCCGCAGCACCGAGCCCGTGGCTCAACCAGTTTGCTTCTCAGCCTGGTGCGCAGGGGTTTGTGGGTGCCCCCCCCCGTGCGGGCGTTCCCATGATGGCCCCCCCCCAGAATGTTGGAGTCCCCATGTATCAGGGGAACCCGTTTATGTTGCCTCCCCCCCAGGGCTTTCAGCAAGGGGCCACCGTCAATCAAAGTAGTAACACCGGAGGAGACGCCCTGAAAGATCTGTTGGGCTGACGATGCATTTTTTGCCACCGTGGAAAAACGTTCTTTAACAACGGAATATTGAGGAGCACTATCTCTGTCGACCAATGTGAAACTACAACCGAGTCTCATTGTAGCTTCACGCGACAGATGGATGTACAAAACACATTTGTGTAGCAGACGATACAACTGTTATGTGAATGCGCTTCACCAAGGTCACTGTTTACATATTCCCTTCAAGCATATTTCAAATAGCAATTGAAAAAAAATGCAAATATCAACACACAAACATGTAAAGCAGGTTTATGTTTCATCATGACAGGAAATTAAATGGACAGCAGCAAATGCTACGTGAGGATGTTAACGTGACCGTAAGACAGTGTAAAGCATAGCGGATCCATTCACGGGGGTGGGGGCCTTATCTGATCTTGCCAAAATTGCTTTGAATTTCTGCACACCATTAATTAAACATCCCTATCACCTGATATAGCGGGTCCAGGCGTAGTTAATGATTTTTTTTTTACCCATTATATGTATGAGATATTATGCGAGATGCTCATCTTAACACAGTTTCTCATATATATAAATTCTATTTTTTTTCACCATATGTCAGGCACGTTGCTTCTATCTGGCATCGTTTGTTTTAGGTGCGTTTAATTTATGGCGTCACCGAGCCCAAAATGCAATAGAAGCTGCGGTCAGATTAGAACAAAATTGAGGAGACAAGCTCCGTTTTGGGATGTTCTTGACAACCCAATGTAATTCCCAATACACAACACGGCTCTTTAAAATAGCCAAGTGCATCAGTTGCGATATATCCAGCATGTCAATGTGGGATGCACATCGATAGTTGTTATACAGCCAATGGTTTTCCCACACACCACGCATTGGTAACTGGGAATCTGTTGGCTTCATTCGGCATTTATATCTCTGGGGATATTTTCAGGGTTAATTTTTACATGCAAATGCTTCTGGGGAGATGGCGCAATGGAATCGGCTTGTATGCGAGTGTTCGGCGGATTATTACGTGGCAAGATCGTGAGAGATGGTGGTGGCTCGGAGTTGCCTTCGTGCAGCAGTGGATTTTCCAGGGCTGAAGATTATGATTGTTTCCAGAATTCTTATTTAAATTTTTGTATCCATAAGTGTTTGTGTAAACGTTGCTTTGGTATCTTGCACGTTCATTTTCGTCGACAAGGCTCCATTTTTGGCAGGTAGTTCTCAACCAGACTCGGGTTTACAGCAATGTCACGCATGTGTGGCTACACATGTTTGACTACACATGTGTGACTACAGCAGTGACGTGCGGTGAGGTCCTTGGCTGGGGAGGCACTGGCTTGTGTCAGAGCCAGATTCACACTCTGAGGGGGGTATGGCCTCACTGAGGGGGGCGTGTCTAGCACGCCCCCCTCAGTGTGGCAGATGTGATAGCTGCCTCCCCTGGTGCTTTTTCATTGCAGTTTCATTACGAGACTAGCGAGCCTAAATATCTTAATACACATACGTAAAATAAGTTAACCTGGAGTATGGAAGACGAGGACATGAAATGAAGGGGTCTACAAACATTACATTGGTGACGTACTGAGATAGTAACAGGCACGCACTTATTGCCCGCGCTCCATCCAGTTACTGAGGGGTTGCGTAATCAGAGGGGAGGCTGAGCTCGTCGCTGCCTCACCTCTCGTCTCTTCCTCTATTTGCAACGAAGCTCCACAAATTTGGTGATTTTTGACTATAAAAATGATTGGAATCGTACAGAAATGACATTTATAACACAGAGCAGTGGAAACATCTTCATGTTTATTTGATTTGATTATTATTTCTTTTTACTTTACTTTTCGTAACAGCTATTTTCATTGGAGTATGACAGGTGAGGCTCTGCCTCCCCTGCCTCCCCTGACCGCACGTCCCTGGACTACAGCTCTGTTCACTTTCAAGTTTAACCTGTGCATGTTCACCCACACAAAAAAAATTAAGCACATCTTATATGTTAATTTAATTGTACACTGCATGATGTGTTAACATTTTCACATCCAGCACAAAATGCGTGTTTGTCAGACATGAGTAATTAAACTTTGGTGTGTTTGTCAGAGGCAAAGGTGTAGCCCCTGCAAGTGCTTGCTCACATTACTGCTGCTGGAAGGGCCTCCTCTACTCGTGAGTTTGTATGTACGGACATGTTCATTCTTTCTAACACGAAACACGTTGCAGTGGTGGTTTTGTTGTTGCTGCTGCTGGGGGGAATTTATCCACGACTGAAATTTCCCAGTAATTTCACCCCGAAACCGAAATGGAATTTATATAAGCGCTAAAACAACACGAGTGCCCCAGAGACACCCGATGTTTTAAAAAGTGCCACGTCTGGAGAAAAAAATGATGCACAATAGCTGTGTTTAACTTGCCTGTCACTTAAGCCCGACTTCCATGGGTTTAAAAGCAAACAGTTACGATTTCACTTGATTGCAGTTAAATGTTTCAATATTTTTCCAGCATTGTCCTTTGTGTTTGTACAGTGCAAGCCCCAATATGCACGTGTAACTATAGCAGGGAAAGCTTTCCGTTCTGTTTAAAAACAAACGATTAATTCCATCGTAGCGTGCGCGTAAGTACGTTTGTGGGTGGCTGCATTTTAAATGAGCATGTTATAATAAACGTGCTTTCTGTGGAGTGGTTGCAAACCACACAAGGCTAAAATACAGCCTGTGGATTGGGGAGGCCTTTATCCAGCAGTGGATTTGCCCGTGTGCACTGCAGAAATTTGCAAAACTCGTGCGTGAAGATATGAGACCGTGCAGTGTTGCGTACTACTCTACAGATTATTTTTTACAAACTATATTGAGGAGTAATTGACCAAGTTTGTATAAAACTGTCAAGATCCCAGATGTAAAATGCATTGCCCAAAATAATACGGGCGTGGGTTTTTTGCGAGTACCGTCATACAATTGAGCCGTGAGGTTGTGGTAAATTCAACCTGAATGCGGGTTTTACTGTGATTTAAAAACATGTGTTTTAGTTAAATAAACATCTCGTGATAACCTCGAGCTTATGAGCTTGCAGTTAAAATAACCTTTTACGTGTAATCTTTACGTTCACCCCAGCCTTAATGTCCTTTTGTGTTGGCTTTGGATAATTATCTGCCCATGACGGTTCCACCCTCGCCCACAATGCCGTCTAAATGGCTGCAATGTGTTTAAACGATCCTGACATTTTACCGTATTCTCCCCAAGTTTGGGTATGCGAGGCAGGTGCCAGCTGAGTTTAACCGCGGTGGGTGCGAAACAAGTACAACTACTATGACACCGGTGGTGTAGAGAAGAGGAGATGTTTATATTGTTGAATGTGTGGACCCATAGAATTGTTTGACAGATCCTCAAGGACAGCTTTCAAGGACACTCGGGCCATCTTATTTCCCAACCTGCGCCTGTTTCAGACCTCAAAAAGGATGCTCGTTGGGCAGCATGGTTAAAATTGTGGCTTTCGGGATCCACACAACTTTTCACGAAACCAAAAACAAATGGAGATAAATGTACGGCCACGCGTCCCGAGAGGATTATCCACCAACTAGGTGGAGTGATGAAATCGACTCGTTCGCAGGTGTGAGGTGTGCATTCTTACCTGGTGGGATCGCAGCAGCTGAGCAGAAGCCGCTTCATTCAGCAGTGAATTTACCATGGCTAGTGAATAAATGCATTTCCAAATTACAGGGTGGTAATGCTTTTGGAAAATACAGATTTTATGTTAGGAACCTGATAGTCCACAGGTGGGCCTAATTATGTACCCATTCAGGGAAAAAATTATTTACGTGTGAAAATGATTTAGAGCTGCACACACTGCCGTTTATTTATAAGCCAGACTTTTAATAATTGCCTTCAGTGCATTGTTTTGGAAGCTTCTACCAGATTGTGTGGGTAATCACAGGTTACGTAATTATGACTTTGCCATATTGTATGTTTTCACTTAAAAGGGCCCCAAACTGCACCTGTCATACTGGCACCCCTGCATGGAATATCGTTCACATGTCTACAAAACAGTTACATGGAATGTTGGGTAATTTTCATCTGAATTGTGATTGGTAGACCTTGAAATGGGAATGTGTGTATCCCAAAAACTGGAAATATTAAACCGGGTGAATAATTTTCCATCCAAATTCGACCACAATATAAACATGTAAATCGGTAAACTTTTTATTTTATTTACCAAACCTGATGATGCTTAAAATTTATAAAACCTCATCCTGTACGTGCGTGTTAAAATTCAAGACCCTGTTGACAGTCAATCAATGAGTTTCGTTTATATATGAGTGGCATTATGGCCAAATTTGCACTGGAACCACGAGCAGTTAAGTTTAGACCATTGTGCTGTGCAGGTGCATGATTGGCGTTACTGTTCCCACCACCACCCTCATCAGCTTTCCTCCTTGTGCTACCAATTCACCAAATTATACACACCTGCAGACCTCTATGAACAACTCCCAGAGTTCAAAATGCTGCCCCAGCATTCTCCGTGCACCCATGTGATCTCTGCAGTGACCCTGTCTCCCTTATGTTAAGACCGGTGAAGGAGAGCTTCTGTTCGGTCTAACACTACAAGTTTTAGAGGGTGTTTTATGCTCTCCATCTACTTTAAATTCTAGAAACTCCATCATCTCTCGCCACTTTCATCAGGTGCGATGCGTACACACAAGCGTTGGAGAGGTGCGCACCGTGTTACAAGTAAGTAGTGAAGTCACGACGCAATAGCTTTTTTATCGTGTCCAATTGCAAAGGTTGTGTGTACAGTATACATGTTTTCGTTGGGTTGTAGCATTTTGCTCGTAGTAGATGTTAATATATTACTCTGCAAGATGTGGTTCGGGAAATCCGCTTGTAATTTGCCTCTTGAGCGATTAGGTTTTTGATGTTGATTACAAAAAAAACAATGCTTTTCTAACACAAAGCCTGTATTTTTGCCTAAACTCTTTCCAGAATGGAATTGTAGATATGTCCTGAAGCTCTTTGTCGTTGCACAACTTTGTGGATGAAACTTGAGCGGTAGCCGTGCTTCTTTAATTCCTCAGTGTCTCACTGGCACATATATTTTATTTCATGGAAGCCTAACTGGTATTAGGAGAGGGTACAATGTCTATCACGTAACATATCTCCATTTCAAGCCCCCCCCCCCCCCCCCCACCAAACAAAAACCCCATCGGTTTTTTTTTTCACGTTGCCGGGGGGGGGGGCGGTGTAGGGACCGTACCAAAAACGAAATGTAAAATATCACTGGTTTTACCTTTGTTTAGTAATGCGCCTGTGTGTGGCAAAACCAGTGATGGAAATTAAATGTAACATATGGTAGGTTACAGCATTGTGTACACCAGAATGCCATTACCCAGTGTAAATGTGTTCCTGTGATTTGTAGTTTTTACGGTGTATTACAAGGTGAAATTGTCTCCTAATAAAATGGCTGGTGCAATAAACAGAATACCATTTGTGGTGGAAACTTTTCTATACCTTCGAGGCATGTACACGTGAAAACTCTTACACTTGGTTGTAACAAAAAAGTGTTACCATTTGCCCCCCCCTGTCCGTTACTTAACCATGCAGGTGAATTGGTGGCACAGTGGGTTGCCACGTTGTGCTGGTGATGACGATTCCTGGCTCGAGGCTAACATCAGTGGCACGTGACGTCTGAACTAGTCCTTCGTATCACTCCTTCACCAACCCGTGCTGTTGAACGTGAAGTATGGTCAAACGACCAGAGTAAATCTGGCTCTTGCAAATTAGCTGATCTCCATTGCTCCATCTCCACCGTGGTCAACCCTCTCAGCCATTCCGTTCATCGGCTGCAATTCGATCAGCAGTCTCACAGATCAGCTGCCGTTCCTTTTAGCGGTGTCCTACCGAAACTAACCTTTTTTTATTAAAAATACCTCTAATTTGTGTTGTACTTTGACCCATGGTCCCCTATCTCAGTGCATCTCTCCATGCATCTTTGCATACCTTTCATCCTTTGATGTATGTTTGTTTGTATACTGCTTTAAACAATCTTTTTTTTTACAAAAGAGAATTCCACCCAGCTTCCATCTTTTTAAATCATGTTCATCATGGTCTGCCTTCAGTAATTGCTCCGTGTATCTATATATACTATGTTGAACAAGTGTCAATTACCCATTACAATGGTGGGAGTCGGTGTATGTTACAGGAAAAAAATATTTTCTTTTGTTTAACGAAATGAAATATATTCTGTAAATTACAAGAAAATCCCATCAGAACAGGAACAAGATGCACGTGATTTTAGTTTTGCTTATTAATCTTTTCTCTTTTACTCCACTTTGTAGCTTTCATTGTTGAGTTCTTCAATAATTTCTACGATGGTGAATTATTTCACCAGTTACCATTGACCACGAGCATACTATATACACAAATACATTTTTTAACCCATCGAATACCATTTTTCATCCCTTTAGTAGGTGCACAGAAATAAGTATACCTTCAATTTGGTCACGTCGAAAAAATATTCGTGGCAAATGAATTATCCTGTTTTGTGGGCTCTCTGTACTTGAAGTGTACAATGTGAATCGTTACATTTATTCTCTAAGGATGTGTGAAAGCTGTGTTGTGCGTATGGAACTGCACAATTACTCCAATTGCTTAACCCATTTAATACAATACAAAAACTAACGTTGCCAAAAATTCTAAGTGATTTCTTGCTCAATCGAGCAATAAGACTTTTCATTTCATGTTCTGAGCCCTGAGCCAGTGGTGGAAATTCCACATTCCTATGGTGGGAGGGAGTCAGTCCATAGGACAACCGCTGGTGACAGTCACAAAGTGGTACTATTTTATCGACCCTGGAGGGATAATGGGCCGAGTAACCCCCCCCCCCCATCCCTCCAACCAGGATTTCAATTCACAACCTTCCAACTAAGCAACTCGCTCAACCGTTCAGCCAGCTGGTCAATTTAGAGCAATGTGCTGCATGAGTAAGACAGGATTAACACTTATCACGCTGCTGATAGAATAAACTTGCTTTATTGGTATTCATATGAAGATAAATAACAAAATGAAAAAAAAATGAAATAAGTTAAAAAAAATAACAACAAAGCAATTGGTTTGATTAAATTAGGACGTATTACAAGTGGCCTTACAAGCAACGTAGGTTTCATAAACAGGAACAGCGATCAATCGTTAAAAAAAATTACAAACAGCAGCCACACTGTCAAATGAATTCCAAATGCTTTTAAAAATTATTCTTTTAGTCATTAACCATGTTTAGGCAGTAGGGTATTGTAATTTTAAAATTGCTCCACCTTAAATTTTGCTGGCACTAAGTACAGTATTGCCAAACTTTAGCGCTGCATTCATACATAGGTAAAATGCTACAAAAATGCACAATATTTAATTGAAAACCAAATTTTATGTACATTATCTGCGATGCCACACGGTGTTTGAAACAAATGTATATATAGCGCGAGTATTACGACCTATAACTTGGTTGACATTGAATATTTTTTTTACGTAAATTACATCTGGTATAAGAGCAGATTGTTGCCATGAACAGTGCAAAACAAAATCTTTATAAAAATGTTTCACACTATGATTGTTTGCTCACAACTAAACCATACCTCAGACCTTTACAGTATATAAATAGTACAACTACCTTTCATTCGAAACGAGTCGGGGGGGGGGGGTCACACATTGACGCTGTTTTAATGCAAAATTAAATTATAATAATTAATCTAATCAACCCTGTTTGGGATCTCCTAAATATTTTTTGTTACATGCGACGCACAACCAAACTGCACAGGGACGCCCACAATTAAATTATCGATACTCTGCCCGTATCGATTCCCCTGTACCGTAAAAATGTAATTGATTAATGTGACACATGACTTCCCCCCCCCCCAACCACAATCTAAATGCGATGCATACATTTAAATCTTTCAAAGCATTCTCTGCTGCTCAGCGCTCCGACGCGTTTCCCCGGGGCGCGCCGCGCGATGTTCAATTTTATCGCTCCGACGTGCTGGGCAGCAGAGTTCGTCGGGAGGCACCCACCAGCACGTGGGGTGAAACGTCGGACATCGTGCCAAAGGGCGCACGGTATGACGTCAAGACGCGCGCCGGGAGGGCTATCGGCACGGCTGAGAGATCCCATGCAGCAGTTGTGCTGCTGAATTGAATTGCTACGGATGTTTCTTTTCAACCAGTGAGACCCCTGTTAAAAAAAAAATACCCCAGCGTGGATAAATCCAGAATACACATAATAACAATAATAGCACCAAGAGCACAGACGAGGGGGGGGGGGGGTGAAGAAAAAAAACTGAGCAAAGTTCTATTGGCACTGGATCTCAACCGCTTAAATCCTTTCGGCGAAGCCTTGAACGCAAATATTCCCCCGGACAAAAATCTACGAGGTTAACTTGAATTAAAATCGCAAAGGTAAAATGTTGCCACAAACTTTCACAAAAAATAAATTTGGGCAGCTGCACTTAAAATTCCAAGGCCTCTATAACACTATCACGTTATCTAAAACGAGAAAAAAAGCTATTTGCAAAATATGTATAATTAAAAATGTATTCGATGGGAGAGATTTGTCTTCGTCCACTGCTGACGCTTCGCTCCAATAAGTTCATCCACGTCAAATAGAAAATACAAAAACGGCAACCCTCATCTCTTGTCATCCCTAGCCACGCGCTCCCCCTTTTTTAATTCTAAAATATTTCTTTTTGACGACTTACGCACTGTACAATCACAAATTGTGCACGAATCCATTTACTCATATCACTATGCATATTAAAAAAAAAATGCGACTACAAAGCATTGAACTTTGCGGGGAGGGGGGGCATGGGAGAGAGAGAGCGACAGAGAAAAAAAAGTTCACAATAAAAAAAAGCTCTTGGTAGTCGAGAAAACATTTCTGAACAGACCCGTCGCTTCGACAATAAACATCCCCTTTGCAGCAAGCGTTGGCAGGGACTTGGCATTGCCCTTCGGGGGGCAATGGTGGAAAAATTGAGGATCGAATGAACACGATGTCCTGCGCAACCCCATTCAGCTGTTTAATGTCCCAGGGCAGCAGCGGCAGGGGGGGGGGGCGCTACTAAGACCTGCTGGGGTTGGGCAGGTCTATGACGATCGGCGGATTTGTTGGCTGGAAGCTCACTGTACACAGCGATGCGTTCACGTATGTCGTACAACTGTCCGTCATGATGCCGTAACCTACGAGGGGTGGGGTGGGGGAAGAGGCAGAAAAGGGCTGTGCATTCTTATTTGTATTACCACTATTGTTATTGTTGTTGGGTGGTCAAGTGCGGTGGATGAGCAAGTGCACGCCCAATTTCAATTGGTGCTACAATTGAAATATCCAGTGACATGAGCAGTGTGGCATTGCGTGTGCGTCTGTGTATGCAAGTGCCAGTGACAGACCTCCCACGAGAACCGTTCACGGACTGTTGCGGAAAGTCCTTTCAGTGAACACCTATTTAGGCCGACGAGGTACTTAAGGGAGGTGGGTGTAGCCAGCACCGCGCCCGGCCACATTTGTCTCCCCCAGTGCCGATGATTTACACGTGACATCAAGTACTCATTTCTGGCTCAGGTCACCCACAGGAGACCCAGGCCAGATGATTCAGAGCTGCACGGGTTTCTCATGGTGCTTCGTTTTGTGTGTGTCCTGGGGTTGCTGGGATCGCTCCACGGTTACCGTTATGGCCCTGGACCAGTTCAGATAACCCTCGCCATGGATGCTAGCCGTGGTCGGAAATCGAACTGAGGTCGTTGGGTTGATGGTTCGTGCTTTGCGCTACACCCGGGATCTGTCTCGATGCTTTGTACATAAGCAGTGTGTGTCTTTGTGCATGCGTGTGGGCATTTGCGCGCGCCTAAGTGAATGCGTTAAGTGCGGGTGTGTGTGTCTAAGTGTAGGAAGCGGTGGTGTAGTGATTAGCGTGCTTCGCTATGAACCTGGCGACCCGGGTTCAATTCCCGCTCACACCCAACACCAGTGACGATTATCTGTACTGGTCCTGAGCCTCCCCTAGGTCGACTCAGCCTCAAATGAGTACCTGGTGCGATGTGTAAACATCGCACCAGGTACTCAAAGACGGCCGGGCGTGGTGTTGGCCACCCACCCCCTCGTGTGCAGTGCCGGCCTTTATAAGTGCTCGCTAACAGCACTTGCCCGTAGTCTGTTAAGGCTATACTGGGGGATCTTTTTGGTGCGCGTGCGTACATACGGATGGGCGTGCGTGCGCGAGTATAATTGTTTTGTATGCGCGCATGTGCATTAGAGCAACGCGTGGCACATTCGTGCGCGTGCACGCACGTGTGAGTGCACGTCCCGTGCATTTGGTGCGTGCGTATTAGTAAGCCACTGGAGCAGCGCACTTTTACATCTGGAATGAAAACTCATTCCGTTAGAACAGTTCTTTTTTTTTTTGGCGCGGTCAGTTTGTTGTCCTTCCCCCCGCAACTCCCGAT